GACTTTTTCTGCCAACAGGGTCAGTTCATACCACCTTGGGGACATATTGGATACAGTAATGATGTAGAAATTAAAAATGGCGAAGAGATATTCTACACTCTAGATAGCAAACACATGAATATTGTTCCCGGTGACACGAAACGTGGTCTGATGCTGTTCCGAAATGAAGGAAGGAATCACAAAGAAATACGCTTGGACGTGAATTCAAAAGCCTATAAAAATGCGGAAGCAATTGGTGTAATAAAGTTCCATAGTTGCGTTTGCATGAAAAAATACAATTCAGTTGAGAAAATCCCAGGACGGCTACTACGTGAACTAATGTTTGTCATACGAAAGGTATGTTGCTGTTGACACCAATCAAAATTAACATATTGCGCAGATGGTGGTTGTGGTGTGCGTATATATATGTGGGGGTAGGGGTGTCTATCATGTATGTACTAATGCGTCGTCACTTCGTAATAATATGATCACATGGAACATCCACATTATGACTCTGGCGTTCTAAAATTACTTTAAAACTGCCTTTTACAAGCTGAAACGCCCAATGTCACGAAAGATTATAAGATAGCGTTTACTAAATATATAAATTTATAAATATTCAAAATATTGTTTTTCAAACAATTTAAATACAAGTTTTGAGGTGCACACTCTTTGTGCCCGTCAATTAACATGCACAACACTTGTGCATCTATTTTGCGTTTTGTGCATTCTTTTATTGTGTCTAATAAATACGAGTATTGATGAAACCAATTGGATTTAACCATTCTTTCCTGTTATAACTGTTAATTTTGAAAGACAACATTCAACAAAGTTAACAATGCGCAAAATCGAAATGCATATTATTTACAAAAACTTACTTATATATGACATTACACCAACGGATATGGCACAATGAACAATACTCCAACCCCCCCCCCAAAAAAAAAAACAAACATTTTTCTCATGATCGCAAGTGACATTTTTCGAACGATACAGAACAATAAACCTGTGCCATTTATTTGAGTGATTTTTCAATTCAATTTTAATGAAGGGCCCGACACGTACACGTCCACGTCCACAGGCACTAGGACCAGTGACGAGACCGATTGCTATACCTCGTTTCGAAGATACTATAAACCAAGGCAAGTAAACAAAAAAATGCAAGGACATAACTTTAGTTCTTTTTTTCTTGATAACTATCTAATTCCATCAAAGAATTATCTTGTTCAGGTTTTGATTAGTTGTCTGTGAATATTAATTAGTTGAATTTGCAAGATTTTGTTTCTGATTTGATTGCGTGGTGACCGCCTTTTTATTTTTACTCTTTACATTGTGAGCTTTCGCTAACCTGAAAAATAGTTTTATGCCATTAATGGTTAAAACAAATTTATATTATTATCATTCAACGATGACCATTGCCTGTACGAGTAAGCTAAATGTTTATTTCTTACAGCTAGAAAAGATATCTATGTTACACTTGCTGAAGAGATCCCAGTTGCAAAATGGAAACCATGTGCGGTGATGCTTGGGTTGCCACATTCTGATATTGATCACATTGACTCCAACCCTAAAAACGATGCGTGGTCAAAAAAATATGATATGCTGGTCAAGTGGCACACTCGTCAAGGACGTGACGCTCCGATTGACAGATTGTTAGACGTGCTCGCAAAACAGGGACTCACACTTCAGGCCGAGTCGGTGAAAGAGATGTTGAATGAAAAGTAATTGGATTTTTCAATATCAAACAACAAATACCGGGGTGGACATCAACTGTGTCAACTGGCTGTCTAAAATTCGAAACATAAATTAAGAATAATCTGAAAGGTGCAACTACATGGTAGTTCATGACATTGATTCTTTTTTGTTGATTTTTAAGCTTAATAATGTGTTAATTTACCTACTAATTTGGAACATGTTAACGATGTGTGCTGTGCTTGTGTTGAATGTATAAATGAGTAAATTTATTTTCCTACTGGGTTTCATTGGCTATTGGTTCTAGAAAGAGATCTACAATTTCAGCTTTTATCACTGGAATTATAAATATGAAACTTAAATATCGCTCAATAGCTTTACTCAAGCCATACAAATCGTTAATTATGACAGACAATATAAGTAATTCATCATTTATGTCAAAAAGGAACTATAGCCTAAGTAAGTGTTAACATTTTTAGCAATTTTAAAACGTGTTACACTTTTATGCATTTTGGCTGTAATTCTTTCATATATCTATTCCCGGAAAATCATTAATATAGTACAACATGGTTAAATTGTAGGTAGTAGATAATTTTAATGATCAACAGCTAAGGCGTTGTAAATAATGAAGTGTTTTTTACATTTGAAATTCATTGAACATATATTTAATCGCATTGTATATTTTTTCTTTTCCAAATTTTACAGAATGTCAATGTGGTTCAATGTACATTTTCATAAATATTTATCAATTTAGATTCAAACAAGCGGGTGTGATTCACTATTGCAATGCTCTTGTTTACTGTGTTTTTTCGAAATATTTTCAAATATAAAATAGACTACCTACATATGCAGTGACGTAATAGTAAGAACAATATATCACCAAATCCACCACAATTATTGAAAGGTTCAAATAAATTATGGATATGCTATTTGTCAAGAGGTATGTTATACCCAACATAGATTTTAGTCTTGTAAGCCATGTAGTCTTGAGGAACTATATTCTGGAATGGTGAGTCATTGTATTAATCAAAACTATACCTTGAAACCAGGAATCCCTAGGTGAGCAGAATATGTACAAAACATATATCGCATTCATTGCTGAACCTATCGCAACCTGATTGATACACGTATATACATTGGTGAAGGCACTGATTGGATGTTATCTATGGCTGCAGCAAGTGACCTCATTAACAGACACGTGTATATTAATGTGACCACTGATTGGATGGTACCTACGAACATGCGCAAGTGGCACGCAATTTGAACTACAACTCTGCGTGGAGACCTTGGTGGATTTTGCACTCTGTGTGCGTACTGTTGGCGTAACAATATCATGTTCGTACATTTGGTTCACGCGACGATGCAGTATCGTTTAAATTTAAGTAGACATTATAAACATATATTACAGGAATTATAAATAGATTGTTTACTAATTGTATTCAGTAGTGGCAATTTCGCAATGCTTTAACC